GCACCTTATAAACAAACAGGTTTCCTCCCTGTCCCCTAGTACAACCCCATAATGCCACATCTACTGTTTATACCAAGTTATGCAAAAATTAAGCTTCTGCAGGTGTTATGAGTACCATTCTGGTTTAACCTTTCATTTTATCCTAAGCGTTCCAGGTGAATTTCCCAGCCACAACTGAGAGGATGAGATAAAAAAGCAGTTTCATTGTCAATATCAGTATTTTAACAATCACTGGAAATATTTCACCCTACATTTCAGACAATCCTGTAACATTGCATATCAGGACAAAGACCCACCTTTAGATGCAGTCTGCAGACCGAATTCTGACGACGTGTGGTGCTTGCCGCAGAACGAGCTGCTACAGAGCAGCGTTTGCCTCCTTCAGACATTCATACTGACAGAGAGAAGAAGAAAGTCCTCACTCACCAGTGGCAGCTGCATCCTTTTCATCCTCTTTCTTTACAGGTACTGGAGGCGGTGGTGGTGGTGGCATCAACTTGGAATCAATATCTTCACAGTCAGCATCGTAATCATCCTCATCTTCATCTAACCAGTCAGGAGACAAAACTGCATATTAAGCAAACAATACCAGGGAACCAGGCACCCTGCCCACTTATACTATCTCATAGTTGTCGCAGCCTGATGAGAAGACCAGGTCTTCTCATTAACAAGACGACCATTCTCATTTTTGTAACCAGATGCAAAACTTTTATAAGTTTGGCTTCCTGCACAAACAGTTTGCAAGACTGAAAATTAAGAAAGAGTGGAAGGAGGGAAAAAGGCAAACTGACAGAAAGATGACTGAAGCACTTTAAAAATATATATATATTCTGCTATCACCTCTCCTTATTCATGCTTTGCAGAGCAAATAAAGATGGTGAAGAAGTAAGAAAAACGTGGTTAAAAAGCCCAAATCACTTTTATATCCCAGTAAGTCATACACATCACAGTATGTCAACAGAAAGGTTAAGTGTAAGGCAGCTTTAAGGAATATGCAAAGATTTAGCATTTACACTAGCAGCTACCGAAACGGAAAAACTGCATGTTTTTGAAAAATCTGTTCTAGGCCAGACAGAGATCCCTGGGACCGAAGAAAGAACCAAAGTGCCTTCTGCAGAAAGACATTTTGGAAAAAGAATTCAAGGGTAAAACAGGAGAGAGATATTGAGATTGAAGTGACCCTTTAAATGATCAGGACCTTATCTCTGTCTCTATCTCCAGGAGGTACCTGGCTTCCGCATAATCTTCTTCCTAAGAACACAGGTTAAAAAAATATGAGCAGATATTGGGTATACTCTGCAGAGGATCCCAAAGCAAAAGGAGGGTCCTGGTTTCTCTTCTGAGTATAGTTTAACTGTAATGAGAAACCAATTCCTTAAACAAGGAGGATACCAAGCAGTGGCTTCATCCAGTGAACACAGTTTCACAAAGTTATATTAGGTTCTTGAAGCAAGGAGTGAAAAGGCACAGTGTCACCTGTATAAGAAACTGTCAAGGCCCACTGCCCCAGAATACCTTCTACAGCCAGAGCTGTAACACTAATCCCATTTACCTGGTCTTCGAACTGGCTGCAGGCTGCCCATTGCCTGCTTATACCTACGGCTCTCATCTTCTGCCACTTCGTTAATATCTGAATAATCAACAGCATCTTCTGTACTCTTAACCCAGCCTAGGAAGATAAGAAATCTAGTCACACAAAACTTCATCCCAATATATATTACTAACTTCAGACTTCACTATGCACATATGAATCCTTTCCTATGCTCCCTTTTCCAGGAGGAACAAAACCATCTGATTAACATCTCCCATTGGAGTATTTTTTCCCATCATTCCAACCAAAAGTTTCAAGAACTCTGAATCTCCCCTCAAGATTGGTAAGTAACCAACTTGAGCACAAGGAACACCTTTCACTGACTCAGTGAAACTCTGACAAGCCCAGAAATAAAAACAAGAGACATAATAACACTGTGCACTAAACAGCCTTGTTTAACACTGGGGAAAACACAGCATAAACTTATTTATCAGGGAGGAGGGACAAGTTAAAAGAAAAGAAATAACAAAACAAACTAACAAACAATGAACAAGTACAAAAGCAACCAGGCAAAAGCAACCAATGTGGGATTCACTCTGGCAAGAAGGAGAAGGGGAGGCCTTTGCCACAGGACTTGTGACCAGATAACATCAAGATATTCCTTGGAGCCCCAGATGGCCTGGGGCATTTCTTCCTCTCCAGGCAGAGCTCTGAGCCTGCAGCCCCTCTGTGGTTTACCCACAGGCACCCCCGTACCTCACCTTCCTCGTCCAGGTGGGCTCCATCGGCCTCCGGGCTCTCCTCCTCGCTGGCGGTGATCTCGGTGATCAGGTTGCCCAGCCCCAGCACACCCAACCCGGCCAGGTGCTTCTTGGATTCCTGCGGAGACCAGAGCCACGTCCCAGCGGGGAGGCTCCGCCGGCCGGGCCGGGCCGGGCCCCTTCACCGCCCGCTCGCTCCCGCCCTGGAGCCGACACCTCCCCGGGCCCGCAGCACCGACGCCCCCTCCCGGCCTCGCCCCGGGGCGGCGCCGCTGGGACCCCGGTTGCTCTCCCACCCCTCAGCCCGCACC